CTGCAGTTAGAAGTATTGTTGACGTTCGTTGATATAGCGTTTGTTATAGAGCGACTGTTGAAAATAAGTGTATCGTAAAGTTGTATTCGGAAAGAATAAACCAGTTTTATTAAGTAAGGACTTGTGTCGCTAAAGTTTCGTCGGAACGAAGTTAACGGAAAGTTAATTAACAAACGGAGACGTAACAGTATCATATTGAGGATTTCTATGTTTTTTCTTGTAAGAACCTGCGTAAAGAACTAATCACAGTTTTGGTTAAATCAGCATTTGAGAAATAAGTAATAATTATTGGGATTAATTGCATTATTGATCGTGTGTATATTTATTTTTTCTGTGATTCACACACATATGTTACTAGATGTACTTTCGCAGGATCCCCAAAAGTGTTCTGTTTCAAGAATAAACAAAATTAATGTTAAGAGTAAGAAATATTTTTATTTATTGCTTTTGAAATTCATAAGTCATGCTCTGTTGTAGCCTACAGAGTGCAAAATTCTTCGTGATTCGTGGCATGCGCACGTTTAATTGACGTCACAACAGAACAAATTGCAACGTTAAGCGTCCCTTATGTGACGTCATTTTAGTGACTACTGACTGACTGACAGACAACACACTACTGTATATTGGTGGGAGTAGTTAAAACAGATGACGCCACTAGGCAGCTTTGGGCCCCTTTCGTGGAAATTAATGACTTTACAACCAACAAGCAATTTGGTGAATAAGTAGTTTAGAAAAATGCACTTTAAATACGATTATATATGAACCCCATCACATATTCTAAGGTTAATGTCCAATGAGTAAAGAGAACTGATCCAGTATGCACTAACGTTAGTGTTCAGGAAGGTATGTATGACGGTGATTTTCCATGGACGGACTGAATAAAACAGGCATAGAAAACAAAGCATTATTTTAGAAAGGATAAGACATAAAGAGATATATTTAAAATATTTAGAAATATACTATAATATAAATTTATGAATATGAACTAGCTAAGTTTGTTTTAGGTCTTTTATTGTAAATTAATAAATGTTTAATTAGACATTTACATAAGAGGT